AACATAACGTGTCACATCTTGTAATTCATACAGTTTAGAAAAATGCCACAAAAGCTATCTTTGTCCACTTGGTCCTGCTCAACATTGTACAGTTGATCCAACCAAATGGCTAATTCTTCCTGATTTCCTCCCCAAATTTGTAATGCATTTTGTTCCATCCATACAACACAATCTGTCACTGTGTATGTGGGCAGGCTCCCAGGTGCACTGCATTGTGTTACTTCATGAGCTGATGTAGCTGATGTGTCACTGCCTTGTAAAACACTTGGAGGGGTGGGGAGTTGGGGAGAGATAGCAAAGGGAAAGATGCCAGATGTAGGTGATGGGGAGGAAGGCAGCAAATCACACTGCCACGTGTGTACCTATGCAACAATCCTGCATGTTCTTCACATGTACCCCAAAACCTAAAATGCAATAAAACAAACAAAAAAAACAAACACCTGGAGTCTTTATCACTTATTGTTCTGGACCCAGCCAAGTCTTCATCTTCTCTGTTCTTGGAAACTTGAGCTTGTTTAGCTCACCTTTCCTTATAGCACTGGGGCTTAGGGAGAGGAAGAGCTCCTATTTAAAAATAATAACCATGTTCAAAGAGGAGGATTTTATAATGGAGTTTACAGCTAGGGAAATTTCCTTTGCACAGAAGGAAAGCACACTTCATGAAAAATACCTATAGATTTTCAGTGTTCCTACTGGAAGGTTTGAAGTCATTCAGTGCAATTCTAGAAATGTAGGGGTTAAAATGCCCATGTCTTGCCCCCTAACCAATCCATCCTCTACATGTATTTATAGACATGGTCTCACTCCCAGGCAGGAGTGCAGTGGAGTTATCATAGCTCACTGCAGCCTGAAATTCCTGGGCTCAATCAATCCTTCTATCAGTCTCCCTAGTAGGTAGGATTACAGGCGCAAGCCACAGCGTCTGGCACACATTGACCTTATTTTGGTGAGTATTAATAAAAATTATTGTAACCAACACCACAATCAAGATACAGGATTGCTTCACCACACTGAAAAAACTGATATTTCTTAACAGCCAAACATTTCTCCTCTCTTATACCTGGCAAGCACTGATTTGTTCTTCATCAGTACAGTTTTGGCCTAAGACTGTTATATAAATCTAACACAGAATGTATAAACTTTGAGACTGTCTTCTCTCACTTAGCACAATGCTTTTGGGTTCCTCCAAGTTGTTTGGTGTGCCTGTAGTCCATTCGTTTTTATTGCTGAAAAAATATTTTATTTTATTTTACGTGTATTAGTCTGTTCTTATGCTGCTAAAAAAGACATACTGAGACTGAGTAATTTATAAAGGAAAGAAGTTTAATTAATTCACAGTTCAGCATGGCTGGAGAGGCCTCAGGAAACTTACAATCATGGTGGACGGGGAAGCAAACATGTCCTTCTTCACACGGTAGCAGGAATGAGAAGTGCCCAACAGAAGTGGGAAACATCCCTTATAAAAACCATCAAATCTCATGAAAACTCACTCACTATGAAGAGAACAGCATAACGATCATTGTCCCTGGATTAAATTACCTCCCACTCAGTCCTTCCCAGGACATGTGGGAATTATGGGAAGTACAGTTAAAGATGAGATTTGAATGGGACATGGCCAAACCACACCAGTATGGAAGTACCACAATTTGTTTATCCATTCACCTGCTGAGAGATACTTCAGTTGTTTTCAGTTTAGGGCAATTACAAATAGGACTTGAAGAAATATTCACATGCAGGCTTTCCGTGTGAACACAAGTTTTCATGACTGTAAGATAAATGCCTATGCATACAACTCAGGGGTCATCAGATAAGTGTATGTTTTACTTTACAATAAACTACCAAAATATTTTCAAGAGGAGCTACATCATTTTGCATCCCCACCTGCATTGTATGAAAGCTCCAATTGCTCCACATGTTCAGCACAGTAAGTCGTAATTTTCTCTCTGTCTTTTCTTCTTCCTTTTTTTTTTTTTTCTTTTTGCTATTTTAGGCATTCTAATACTTATGAACTCTTATTGTATTGTAGTGTTAACTCAAATTTCCCTAATGAATTAGGATGCTGAGCATCTTTTAATTTTGTGTTTATATTTTATATGCCTGCTTTGGTGAAGTGTCCATGGAAATATTTTAACCATTTTTCTAAATATTTTGTTTTTTATTGTTGAGTTTCATGAATTTTAAATAACAATCTGTATGCAAATCTTTTATCAGACATATGATTTGTAAATATTTTCTCCCAGTCTGTGACTCTGCTTTTCACTCTTTAAGCAGTACCTTTCAAAGAGCAAAAGTTTTGTTGTGTTTTGCTTTTTTAATTTTGATAAAATCCAATTTTTTTCTTAGATATTATTACCAAAGTACAAATCATAATTATATGAAATAATAATGTATGTAAAATATATATTTTTGTAAAATATTTTGTGTAAATAATATATGTAAACTTTTTTGTAAAATATATATTTTGTAAAATATGATTTGTGCTTTGGTAATAATATCTAAGAATATCTTGCTTAACCCTAGGTCACAAAGATTTTCCAAAAACTTTATCATTTAATGTTTTACATTTAAATCTGTGATTGATTTTGAGTTAATATTTATATTAAGTAAGAGACTGAGGTTGAAGCTCATTACATTGTATTTGAAGGATCAATTTGTCCAAAACCATTTATTGAAAGGATTATCTATTGTTCATCAAACTACCTTTGCATCTTTGTCAAAAATCAATTGGCTACATATGAGTGGGTTTATTTATAGATTATCTTCTTTTCTATTGATCTGTGTGTCTATCCCTTCAATCCCACTGTGTTTTCATTGGTGTAGCTTTACAGTAAATCTTAAAATCACGTAGCATGAGTACTACAACTTTATTCTACTTTTTTAACCATTCATAACCTTTGTATAATAATTTTAGAAGCCTTATGTATGATGCTAGCTCTCGGTTTCATTGGAGACACTTTTTATAGGTTTAAGAAAGTTTCTTTCTGTTTTTAGTTGTTTGAGAATTTTGTCATAGATGATGCATTTTGTCAAATGAGTTTTCTACATGTATTGTTATGACTTTTTTCTTCTGAAAAAAAGGCTGTTAATATAATCAATTACATTAATTGATTTACAAATATTGAATCAATCTCGCATTCACTGAAAAATTCCACCTTGGTCTTATGTATTATTTTTATTAATATTCATTGCTAGATTTGATTCTCTAGTATTTTGTCAATATTTGTATGTATGTATATGTCGGATTTGGTTGGTATTTTTTTTTCTTTTGTTTTTTGATTTGGTACTATCATTGTCTGGTTTTGGTATTAGAGTAATAGTAGCTTCATAAACTAAGTGAAAAAGTGCTTACTCCTCCTCTATTCCTAGAAGAGATTGTGTGGAATTCGTGTTACTCCTTAAATATTTGGTAAAGTTATTCAGTATATCCCTTTGATCAGGGGTTTTCTTTTTTGGAAGGTTTTAAATTATGAATTCAATATTTTTAATAATTGTGGCACTATTTGAGTTACTTATGATATCTTGAGTTTTAGTAGTTGTGATTTCTGAGGAACTGGTAATTTTATCTAAATTACAAAATTTATGTACATAATATTGTTTATAGTACCTTTTATTATTCTATTAATATTTATGAGTTCTGAAGAAATATCTCAGTTTTTATTTATTTATTATTATTACTTTTTATTTTGGGGGTACATAGTAGGTATATATATTTATGCAGTACATAAGATGTTTTGATACAGGCATGCAATGCATAATAATTACATCAGGGTAAATAGGGTTTCCATCACCTCAAGCATTTGTCCTTTGTATTGCAATCCAATTACATTCTTTTAGTTATTTTAAAATATACAATTACATTACTATTGACTATAGTAATCCTGTTGCATTATCAAATGCTAGGTGTGTTATTTATTAGTGGGTGCTATCCAAACTTTTCTTCTTTCTTTTTCCTGCCTTATTTTGGTATATTAATTTTGTTGATCTTTGGAAAAGCCAACTTATTATTCAACATTTTTCTACTCTTCTTCTATTTAAAAAAGTATTGATTTCTGTCTTTTTAAAATTATTTCCCTCCTTCTACTTGCTTGGGTATATTTCACTTTTTTTAGTTTCTTAAGGTGGGAATAGATTATTGATTTGAAGCTTTTCTTTTTTTTTTAAATGTAAATATTTGATGCTATAAATTATTCTCTAAAAACTGCCTTAACTGCATTTCATAAATCTTGAAATGTTTTATTTCATTTTGATTCAGTTCAAAATATTGCTATAATTTTCTTGGGACTTCCTTACTACCCAAAGGAAATAAAATCAGCCCTCATAGAACTATCTGCAAACCTACATTTATTTCAACATTATTCACAATAGCCAAGATATGAAGACAACCTAAATACCCATTGGTGAATAAATAGATTAATAAATTATATATATAAATATATATATATATATATGCATAATGTGTGTTTATATAAACACTTACACACATATAGGAATATTATTCAGCCTTAAAAAAGAAGACAATTCAGCCATTTACTACCATTTGAGTAGACCTAGAAGGCATCGTGCTAAGTAAGATAAGGCAGACACAGAAAGAAAGATACTGCATGATCTCAATTATATGTGGAATCTAAAAATTGAATACATAGAAACAGAGAATAAAATGGTAGTTACCAGGGATAGAGGTAGAAAAAGGAAATGAGACGATGCAGCTCAAAGGATGTAAAGTTGCAGATATGTAGGATGAGTGAGTCTAGAGATATAACATGCAACATGAAGAATATACAGTCATGCGTTGCTTAATAAATGGGATATAATCTGATAAACATGTTGTTAGACAATTATGTCATTGTGTGAACATTATAGAATATACTTATAGAAAACCTAGATGGTACAGCCTACTACACACCTAGGTTATATGATATAGCCTATTGCTCCTAGGCTACAGACCTTGCAGCATGTTACCATACTGAACATTGCAGTCAATTTTAACACAATATGGTAAGTGTGGTGTATCTAAACATAGAAAATGTACAGTAAAAAAACAGCATTATAATTTTATGGAGCCACAATTATATACATGGTCTGCCATTGACTAACTAAAACATCATTTTGCAGCACATAACTCTAATTATAATATTGTATTTTATACAAGAAATTTGCTAAGAGAGTGCACTTTAGACGATTTTATGATGAAAAATACATCATTATGTAAGATGATAGATATCTTAGTTTGCTTAGCTATAGCAACTATTTCACTATTTATATTAAAACATAATGTTTTACACCTGAGATGCATACAATATTTTTTTAAATCTTATAAAATACTTAAAAGCATGCTGTTTAATTTTCTGTCTCTTTCTTCCTTCCTTCCTTCCTTCCTTCCTTCCTTCGTTCCTTCCTTCCCTCCTTCTCCTTCCTTCCTTCCTTCCTTCCTTCCTTCCTTCCTTCCTTCCTTCCTTCCTTCCTTTCTTTTTGGAGATGGATTCTTGCTCCTTTGCCAGGCTGGAGTGTGGTGGCGTGATCTTGATTCACTGCAACATCCACCTCCGGGGTTTAAGCAATTCTCTTGCCTCAGCCTCCCAAGTAGCTGGGACTACAGGTGTGTGCCACCATGGCCAGCTAATTTTTGTATTTTTATCAGAGACAGGGTTTTACCATGTTGTCCAGGTTGGTCTCGATCTCTTGACCTCAAGATTCACCTACCTCGGCCTCCCAAAGTGCTAGGATTACAGGCATGTGCCACCACACCCAGTCTGTTTAATTTTCAAGTGTTTGAGAGTCTCCTGTAATCTTTGTTATTGATTTTAGTTTAATCTATTAGAATGAAAGAGCAACATTTGAATTATTTCAAGTGATTTTAATTTTTTAAGTTTGTTTTGTGACCTGGAATACACTCTATCTTGGTAAAGGATCTCTGTCTACTTGAAGACAAGAATGTACTTTTTCTGTCGTTGGTTGATGTGTTCTATAAGTGTAAAAACATCCAGTTTTGATGATGATGTTCAGTTTTTCTATATCCTTGCAGACTCAGTATCCCTTAATTCTATCAATTACTGAGAACAGAGGTTGAATTACTGAGAGCAGAGGTAATGTATCTAAATATAATTGTTGATTTTTATATTTCTTTCAGTTCTGTCAAATTTTGTTTCATATGTTTTGAAGTCCTATTGTCAGTACTTATTTTATACATTGAGGGCTGTTATGTCCTCTTGAGAAACTGACCTTATCATTACGTCTCACTTTATCCCAACTTAATGTTCTTAATATTCTTTGCTCTGAAGTCTACTTTGTCTGATCTTAATATAGCTAGGTGTTAACCATAGCTTTCTTCTTAAAAGAAAAGCTTTGTTCTGAAAAAAAAAATTATTTAACAGTTATTTTAGAGGAAGTCTACTGGCATAACATTCTCTTAGTTCCTGTTTAACTGAGGCAGCTTTACCTCACTGTCATTTCTGCAGGAATGTTTCACTCGATAGCAGTTGACTGTGTTTTTCTTTAAGCCCTTGAAAATTGTTTGTTTACGTCTTTCTGGCTACTATGGTTTCTGATCAGAAATCTACTGTCATTGAAATTATTGCTCTCATAAGTAATGGATCATTTTCTCTGTCATCTTCAATATTTTTTCTTTACTTTCCAGCAGCTTGATGATGTCTCCAAGTGTGAATGTCTCTGTTTGTTTGTTATTTTCTGTTTGGCATTTGTTGAACTTCTTAAATCTGTAAGTTTATGGGTTTTGTCAAACTTGAGAGGCTTTCTTACTATTATTTCTTCAAATATTTTCTCTACACACTATTTTTTATCTCCTTCTGGGACTTCTTTGACATTTATGTTAGATTTTTTGTGTTTTCCCATAAGTCTCTGGGACTCTGTTCCTTTTTCTCCATTTTTTCTCTCTGTGTTTTTCATATTAAATTATTTCTATGGCATATTTCAAGTTCACTCACTCTTTCTTCTATCATATTCATTCTGCTAGTGAACCCCTTGTGTGATATGTTTACTTTGGTTAATGAGTTTTTCTGTTTTTAATTTCCACTCGTTTTTTTTTTTTTTATTATGTCTTCTATTTGTTTTTGTTAAGACTTTCTACCCTCCCATTTGCTTCAACAGTGTTTACCTTAACTTGTTGAAGCATTTTAAAGATAGCCATTTAGAGTCTGTGAGATAATTCCAACTAGCATTTGTTGATTTTCTGTTTCCCTTAAGATTTTCCTGATTCTTCATATATTGAGTAATTTTGGGATTGTGTTGTAGATATTTTGAAGATTATCCATATGGCTTAAGCAAGACCCAGCATCTCATAAGATATATTACCTTATGAGATGCATGCAAAGCTTGGGATGTGCCCAGAAATTCACAAATAATTTTTAGGTGAATTTTTGGAGGTCCTCCCTCTCTGAAATTTCAAAATATTTTCATTTCTTAGGACTCCCCATTTTAGTCTACCATTACAAATGCTGATTTATTCACCGTAGTCTTCCATCCTCCCCTTTGCTGTGCACAGTTCTGGGGTTAAGCTGTGGAGGACAGAAAAGGTAGGGGTAGGGGTATACAAATAAGAGTTTTCCCCTCCATCTTCAAAGCACAGCTTCTTTATCCAATAGGAAGGATCCACTCCCTCAGAATTCTAGGTGTTTGTGAGAAGCTACAGGCTGAAATACAAGATATTTTGCAAATAAGCATTTACCATATTCTCTCTGGCCATTAGGAAATTTGTTCTTACTACTCAAGCTATACCTAGAGTACTTCTCTTGAGTTCTTTTTGTCCAAAGCTGTCTCCTCTTTCAGACTTTGGGGTGGATTGCACCAGGCCATCTGGATACCAGAGTGAAAAAGAGTGAAAAACTTACTGTTGATTCAGCAATACTTTGAATTTTGGCCATCTTTGCCAACGCTTCTGCTACTATTTATTTTTTAAGAGTTCTCAAAGTATCTTCTCCATGCACTTGGTCCAGGTTTTACAGCTACTTTCCGTGGAAGATTTAGGATGGAATGTTTTTACTTCATCTTACCCATATATGAATTTCCTGCATTGTGTTAATTATTCTAAAATCTAGAACATTCTTCTATGAGTAGGCTTTGCCTAATTCTCTAGCTCTTTCATTTTCCAAATTCTAATAAAATTAAATTATGCTGTTTCCCACATTATTGCTGTGCTGCAATAATCCAGGTGCACACAGAATAAAATGTTAATGAAACTTCTTAGAATTGTGAAATGCAAAAGCTCTTTGTTGTATCTACATATGTCCACATTATTTCATCATAATTCAGTGTCCTTCCTCTATCATCTATGTCTGCTTAGTTAACTCTCACTGACACTTTAAGATTCAGATCAAGCGTTGGCTTGAGTTTGAGGTAGGTGTTCATCTTCTGTTTACACTCCCGTGGTGTTCTGGACTATTTACAAATGCTTATCTAACTAGCTGTGTCTTGTTTAAGCACTCTGCTCTTTTTATCTCTGTATTTGCAATGCCCAATAGAATGTGGTTGTTTAATAAGTGTTTGATGAAGGAAAGAATGACCTGGTGATCTGCCCACCTTGGCCTCCCTAAGTGCTGGGATTACAGGCATAAGCCACCATGCCCGGCCAGGAAATAGTATAGATTTAGTAAATATTTTTTAAAATCTTGAAACAATATGAATGATGTCATCCCACTTGTGTAAAACAAATACACATGAAATATTCAAAAGGTTTTCTGAGCAACTGATCTTGATGACTTTTTCTGGAAAGTAAAACTAAAAATTAGCTACAGTAGGAACCCTTTACATTTCACTTTATTATAGAATATTTGAATTTCATTCTATGACAATGTAGTACTAAAAATAATCTCTTTGTTCAAAGATGAAACACAGATAAAACCATGTAAAATAAAAGTGTAGTTTAATGAGTTATTCTAAGACAAACAGCCTCAGAACCACTACCAGGTAAAGAAACAAAACTTTACCAACCAAGGCGTCAGTCCAATCACAACCCTTTCTTTCCCACACAGGTAATCACTCCTGACTTTTATAGTAATGACTTTCTAGCTTTTAAAAGCAGTTCTAACATCCATGTTTACCAAATATAATTAGGCTTGTTTTATTTTTAAATTTTCACATTTAAGTCTTCTTTTATCCAGATTTTTTCTCTCCACCTTTTATGTCCCTTATACATTATTTGCTGAAGGATCCAAGATATTTGAACTGAACTTGTTGACTGCATACACATGGTGCAGATTAGCTTGTTCCTCTGTCCTCCGGGTTTCCTGCCTGTTGGTAAGTAGACCCAAAGGCTTGATCAGACTCAGGTTTGATACCCTTGGAAAGACTGCTGGTGTTTGGCAAGACTACAGGAGACAGATAATTTCTTGTTGTGTCCTTTTTGTGGTTAGCATCTGTTGATATATAATGCTATATCTGTTAATTCACTGCAAGCTGCTGAAATTCTAATTAAATAAATTATCTTTTTAGTTAGTTGAATACTTTTATAAAGAGACCCTTGCCTTCATTGTCTACTTGGTTACCTAATGATATTGTTCATAACAGAAAAGTAAAATAAATGCTTAAAGTGTCGTTTCACTAGTTTTCAAAATGATAGATTGATTCCTTATCATCTTCATAAGGTGATCATTCATTCTCCCTCTTAAAAAAATCATTATTCAAACATGGATATAAACATATTTGATGGGTTTCCATTCATTGCAATTATTCTTACCAGTGAAACTCAAATAATGCCATATTTGGCCAGTGAAAACCTATTCAAGTTGGATCTTGAGTCTTCTAACATGATCCTAATAGTTTTCCATAGTTCCATGATCATCTTATACATTTCTCACCTGAGAGCTAGAATTAGCAGTATTTCTAGTATTCATAATGACATATAGCATAAAAGTATATGACAAAGTCACTATCTGGGCACTAAGAATGCTTATTGCTACTGGGTTGATAATTGTCCTGAGGACGTTTTAGTGAACAGAGCAAAGAAGACACACATATGTGTTCATGCACATACATAAGTACCTATAGACACTTTCAATTCAAAATCAGAATTACAGAGCTTTAACATAACCTCTTCCCCATTACATCTGTACACCTGTCTTCAACCTTGAAAATTTTGGTTCTCAGGACACAGGGAATAATAAAATTAGAATACTTCATAGCATGATTTTATTTCATCTCATATTATACAAGCAACAGTCTCAAAATAACAAAACCGGTATCACCTATGATGACTAACACCATTTAAAATGATTGTTGTATATGATCCCCATTCCCCCAGATATGTAGAAAGTTGTCCTACATCTTCATTTCCAGAATATAAAGCTATTACAGTGTCTCTCCCTGTTAACTCTCATTTAGTCTTATTTATACAAATATTGACATGTTGAAAACTCACCACCAGTTATGGTGTCATTATTTCTCTAGTCATTTTGGTTCCCTAATGCTCATTCTCAAGTAAATTCCTCAGAAGGCTCATGGAAGCAATATTCCCTGAATGCTTACAGGTAAAGTACAGCTTTAATACTTTATACTGAAAGTCAGGTTTATTGTAAAGATATTTTCTTTTTCTGAGTATCTTAAATTAGTCTATTTTTTCTGGAATAAAGCATTGTTTTAAAAAAGTCTGAGGATAGTCCAATTTTACTCCCTTAAAAGTAATTGCTCTTTCATTCTAGAAGCCTAAAGATGACTTCAGGTTCAATAATTTAATCAGGTAATATTTTGGTTTTGATCATTTTGGATCTGTAGTCTCAGGAACAACTTTTAATATGTTGCTTTATTCTGTTTTCTCAGAACATTTTTGAGAATTGTTTTTTAATGGTTTTTTTGCTTCCTGTTTTGATTTTATTTTTTCAAGCATTCTAATTATTTGCATTTTGATCTTTTTTGGCTCCTTAATATTTATCACCTTCTCTTGAATCCTTTTCTCTCTTTTATGAATTTCTTTTTTATATTTAACATTTTTTTTTATTTTTCACTTTCTAGTTCTCTTCAGGCATTATCTCCTGTGTTAAATTTCTCTTCTAGTTTACCTTTCTTCTGAAACTTTTTTCTTTTATTTCTAATTCTTTCCTGAGATCTGTCAACTAATTTGAGTTCTTATAATTTTAATTTGTACTATGCTTTCACGTCTTCTGTTTTTCATAATGTATTTTTAGCTCATGTTCAAATGATAAGTCACAGTTTCATTCTGTAACTTATCTTCCTCACATGTTTTCACTCTGTAGGGCTGTTATTCTGCTACTTATTCACTTTAGTATTGTAGTAACTTTGTGTGAGATGTTACCTCAGTACCTTCCTGATGTACGTTTTAATAAGAAATAAATTTTTGTGATCTTTAGAATTGAGAAGAGGTGTAGTCAGGAAAGCTTTTCAAATTTTTAAGCTCCTTTTTGTTTCTGTAGAGTGCACTAAAATGTGCAGCCTTGGTTCCTTCGATTTCCTTGTTTTGTATCCTCCTCTTGCCTTCTTTGGTCCAGACTTTCTCTTTTGTCTGTGTTGCTTCCAGCTTCATAAATTTTGATTCCACTCTCAGAAGTTTCTCTTCAGTGTGGGCTTCTGTCCTAGAAGGGAACCTCAGAAAGTCAGTTTCAGAATGTTCATAGCAGTCAGATTGCCCCAGCCTCCTCGTCCTCCCACTGTGAGCCCTGGCATTCTTCAGTTCATTTGGTCACCATGCTTTCAGGGAATACCTGCAGCATTGCCGAGGTTCTTGTGTTCTGATTGCTCAACCCCAGCCAGTTGCTTCCTTCTTCTCCTGTACAGATGCTAATTCCATACAGATTTTGTGGTTGGTGGCTGTAGGTCCCCATTCATTTGCATTTTGGGGTTCATGGGGATACTTTGGTATCTGGCTTGGACCTAATT